TCCCATCCCTTTAGCCGACTTGATCACCAAGTCTCTAGCTAGTCCTTTTGTCAAGTGATCCGCTAGATTTTGCTCAGACCGAATAAATCCTATAGTAATCACCCCATGAGTGATCAGCTCACGTATCCCGCTATGTCTCAAGCCTAGGTGTCGCGACTTACCGTTATACACTTGGCTATAAGCTTTAGCCAAAGTAGCTTTACTATCGCAATGGATAGAAATGGGTGACACCGGTTTCGGCCACAATGGAATCTCGGAGACTAAGTTTCTTAACCATTCCGCCTCTCTCCCTGCAGCCGCTAACGCTACAAATTCCGATTCCATAGTAGAATTTGTAATACAAGTTTGTTTCTTTGATGCCCATGAAATGGCACCTCCCCCAAGTAGGAACACCCAACCACTTGTAGAAGAATGATTTTCCTCGTTGGTGTTCCAACTTGCATCCGAATATCCTTCTAAGACCGAAGGAAATCCAAAATATGACAAACCATAATTTATGGTTCCTTTCAAGTACTTGAGCACCCGCCTTACAGCTTGCCAATGATGAGTACTAGGATTACTAGTATATCTACTCAACTTTCCTACCGCATAAGCTATATCCGGTCTAGTGCTAGTCATGGCATACATTAAGCAACCAATTACTCGTGAATACTCGAGTTGTGATACCGCTTGTCCCGTATTAGGCATAAGCTTCACGCTCGCATCCATGGGAGTGCTCACGGGAGAACAATTTTCATAATTGAACTTTTTAAGCACTTTCTCAATGTAATGTGATTGAGTTAAAGATATTCCTTTGTTCTCACGCTTGATTCGAATTCCAAGAATCACCTCCGCCTCCCCCATGTCTTTCATGGCAAAATTTGATGATAAGAACTCCTTTGTAAGTTCTACTTGTCTAAGGTTGGTACCAAAGATCAACATGTCATCAACATATAAACAAATGATCACTCCATTACCGGAATCATCAAATTTGCTATACAAACACTTGTCCGACTGATTTAATTTAAACCCATTTGACAAGACAGCCTCATCAAACCTTTGATGCCACTGTTTAGGTGCTTGCTTTAGACCATATAATGACTTTACCAACTTACACACCTTATGTTCATTACCAAGCATAACAAACCCTTCGGGTTGTTTCATATACACCTCTTCTTCCAAGACGCCATTTAAGAATGCCGTCTTGACATCCATTTGGTGGATCACAAGGTTATGAATGGATGCCAAACCAATTAATAACCTTATAGAGGAGATCCTAACAACCGGAGCATATGTATCAAAATAATCAATGCCTTCCTTTTGTCTAAAACCTTGAACAACCAACCGAGCCTTAAATTTGTCGATCGTTCCATCGACTTTCATCTTCTTCTTGAAGATCCATTTGCATCCTAAAGGCTTGCAACCGGGTGGAAGATCCGTTAAGAACCACGTATTATTTCCCATGATGGAATCCATTTCATCATTTACGGCTTCTTTCCAAAAAATAACGTCATTAGACGTCATAGCCTCACTAAAAGTTCTAGGTTCATCATCAATATGATAACAATATGAGTATTGGAAACCAATCTCATCTCTTGACCCTTCAACTAAGTAAAGTTGAAAATCGGGACCGAAAGATTTTTCGATTTTCCCTCGTTTACTCTTACGAAGCATAGGTGACTCGTTAGGAGGAACGAACATGTCGTCTCTTTCCTTTGTTCCACTTGAACTAGGAACTAAATCCTTTGGTCTAGGTATCGATGAAAAACGATTCTCATCAAATATTGCATCTCTTGACTCAATTACGGTGTGAACCGCTATAGAATCATTAGGTTCTATGACATAAAACCTATATGCCTTGGAATGCAAGGCATAACCAATGAAGATGCAATCAATACCTCTTTCTCCCAAAGTCTTAATCTTTGGTTGGGGTAATCTAACGATCGCCCTACAGCCCCAAACTCGAAGATAGTTCAAGTTTGGTTTCTTTTTATACCAAAGTTCATATGGAGTAACTTTGTTCCTTTTGTTGGGAACTCTATTTAATAAATAACAAGCCGTTAACATGGCTTCACCCCAAAATCCGTCACTTAATCCCGAGTAAGATAACATGGAATTAACCATTTCTTTTAGAACTCTATTTTTCCTCTCGGATATACCATTTTGTTGTGGCGTATACGGAGCCGTAGTCTCATGTATTATGCCCACAGACTGAAAATACGTAGGATCATAATACTCCCCACCTTTATCCGTGCGTAACTTCTTAACCAAGTCACTATGTTGTAATTCAACCTCGGTTTTATAAACCTTGAATTTATCTAAGGCCTCATCTTTAGCATGTAATAAATATACATAACAAAAACGAGAATAATCATCTATGAACGTGATGAAATATTTCTTGTTTCCTAAAGATGGTGTAGCATGTAAGTCACATAAGTCACTATGAATAAGTTCAAGCACCTTTGAATTTCTTTCAATGCTTTTAAAAGGTTGTCTAATTATCTTAGTCAACATGCATGTTCTACACTTCTCTATATTCACGTCAAAAGTAGGAATTAATCCTTCTTTAGACATATCAATCATTCTTTTATAATGCACGTGGCCTAATCTTGCATGCCATAAAGAAGTATCATTTTTGCTAGAACATGCCATGTAAATAGAATTGACAACTTTATTAATATTAAGCATAAACATGCCATTACAAAAGTATCCAAATCCAACAAAGATACCACACTTAGATAAGACATACTTATCTGACTCATACACTTGTTTAAATCCACACTTATTTAAAACACTACCGGAGACTAAGTTTTTCCTAATTCCGGGTACATGAATTACATCATTAAGATCAAGAGTTTTCCCGGAACTAAACTTTAACACCACTTTTCCACGACCTAGGATAGGAGCGGTTGACTCGTTGCCCATATAAAGTACAGATCCATCTTGAACCGGCTCGTACGTCTTGAACCAGCCACGATCCTTGCAAACATGTATTGTTGCACCCGAGTCAATCCACCATGCCACCTCATCATCCTGCACATAGAATGCCTCAGCTATTTTTGATACATAATACACTTTTGAGTATGAATCAAAAACAAAATTCTGACCTTGATGAGAGGATGGGCCTTGATCCTTAGACCCTTGCCCAAAACGGTTTTGTTGCGTTTTATTCTTATCCTTTGCTGCCCGACAATCACGTTTGAAGTGACCCGGCTTGTTACAAATCCAACAAACGCTCTTGAATCGTTTGTTAGATCCATCATTGGTGTTGTTAGTAAAGGGGCGCTTCTTCCCCTTGTTCTTTATTTTAGAACTCCCACTCTCCTCCATCATATTGATTGAAGAAGTTTCAGCCTCCTTATCTTTGGGTTTTCCACCCTCTTGCACCCTTAGAGATTCCTCTATGCGCAAATGGCTACCAAGTTGTACAAGAGACAACTCTTCCTTTTTGTGTTTTAACATGCGCCTAAAATCTTTCCACGAAGGCGGCAACTTGTCGATGATACACGACACCGAGATGGATTCATCCATCTTCATGTTGTGTTGAGCGAATTGGCCTAGGATGCGAAGTAATTCATTGTATTGCTCCATTACCGGCCTTGAATCGGACATCTTGTAATTATTAAAATCACTCACAAGGAACTTCTTACTAGAAGCATCCTCGGCCATGTACTTCGATTCCAACGCATCCCATAGTTCCTTTGCGGATTCGACATTTTGATAGACATCAAAGAGAGAATCAGACATACCGTTGAGAATGTGGCCACGACATATGTAGTCATCGTTTTCCCACTTAAGTTGCTTCCTTGTCTCCTCCACGGACTCGTTCTCACCATTCTCCGACACGGTGGGCATTGGCACACTTAGAACGTGAACCACATTGAGCGTTGTGAGGAGAAAGTGCATCTTCTTTTGCCATCTTCTAAAATCAACTCCTTCAAACTTATCCAATTTGCCAAACTTTGACGTCATCTCACGCACAGAAACATTAGCCATTGTTCACCGTAAATACTCTTTAAGATTGTTGTGTATCGACGTTGTATCTCCGGGACGTAACGAACGTGAACTTGGATAGAGATTGAATCGCGCACGAGAGCACTTTCCTTAAAGAGTATTTCGACCCTTCTCAAGCCTTGGGTTACACGAAATCCCTTCTAGGATAAGACAATCAAAGTTCTCTCTTGTTCTAGGCTAAGACACAAGAGAAACAAATAGAGCTTTTTGTGTTTTGTTTTTGTGTTTTGCACTAAAGATTAAGACAATCTTTAGTCTCGTGAATCTCTCTTTACTCCTCTTCTTCACTTTCTTTGACACAAGAGAAACAAAGTTTATATATGGTTCAAAAGTTGTGACGTACGTTTGCAACCGTACGTTTAAATAATAACCATAAATTGAATAGTTGCAATGGTTAATTTAATAACCGTCGGTTTACACTTAAATTTATAACATATTGTGGGGACATTTGCATTGGTTTAAGAGCCATAAGCTGCTCTTTTGTCTTGTCTTTTTTTTGAGTTCGAGAAGATTTGACCGGACAACTTTAACAGAGTTCGTGACTCTCCCGACCAGTTTCTGTTATCATTGTAGTCACACGTAACAACATCGCTTTTGGTTTTTCTATAAAGATACTCCCACGAGTTCAAAAGTGTTACAAACAATTCGAATAGTCCTTTTGGTATGTTTTTTTACTTTCTATATTACCATTATTATTTCTTGCATATCTATGGATAATTACGTAACAAACAAAAAAATTAATAGTCCACAGTATTTATTTAATATTTTATCACAATGTGCATTATTTATTTTCATTGGTTGATTTAGTATTTATGATGTATTAGATAATATTTTCTTAATTAATCTTTGTGCTTTAAATCAAAAAATCTTACAAAAAAAAACCGGAAAGAGTATAAAGTTGCCTCAAGGCGACAACTCAACCGGGGATAGGGAGAGTGAGAACAACAAAAATCTAAATAGTGTGATTATTAATTTATCGCTAAGTAAATTTCAATTATATTGATAACTTTTTTTTTTCCAAAGGATGTCTTTGTATATATAACATCCAAACAGCATCATCCATCAATGGAGAACCCATGTTGGAGAGGCAAGTACAAGATACAACAACAAATTTTACAAACAACCAAGTACAAGTAAAGTACAACCCATTCTGCCACTAAAGGGAACGTTGTGAAATGGTAGCTTGTTAACAGCAACCTCATAACTAATCTCAATAAGACCAAACATCAAAACTCAAAGGTTTAGAGCTGATCTTATAGCTTCCATCATATGCTTGTAGTATGGTTGCTTCTTGCTCACCATCTTAACATCCGAGCAGGGTGATAACTTCTATTCTGATTATAAAACAACTAAACAGATAAAAGCATAAAACTAAAACAATCTACACTAGAAGCTTAACCCTGATTAAAAAGCCAAACTAAAATAAAATATCAAAAGCGATAACAAAGAGATAAGGATGAATCCACGTGTTGCACAATCAGCCAAAGAAAAGGTGAGTCATCAAAGTGGCCTGAGTAATGACGCCAACAAAATGGAGTCACCGGAACATCTTCTCCGGTACACTGAAAACCGTCACAGAACCTTCAAAACCACTGTGCCCAAACTAATTCTAAAGCAACAAAAGCATCCTGAACTGCTAAAAGAAACATCTTCTTTTTTATTCATTATGTCACAAAACGAAGACTGAGATATTGCTTCAAAAACCTGCAGCTTCCCAACAAATCAAGTCAAAGGATGGTTCGAAAAACAGATCCAAAATCCCAATTTTTTATGCACCAACAGAGACTCGAATCGAAGTGAATTCTCCAAGGCAAAGGAAGCTGTCGGAACCTTCGAGAAGAAGCAACTTCACAAACAACAAAACCAAATCAAAAGATAAACCGAAGCTAGACGAATCACAGAGACGAGACAGTGAAACCCTAGACGAAAACCGACCATGATGTCGCCGAAGGAGCCGACACATGCCGGACTCAAGCCGTCCATCACCGTAAAAAGAAACGGTCGATGACGGAAATGATAGACGACCCAACCATCGCATAATAAGCCGGTGGTTGTCGGACTGAAACCGGTTGCAACAACCGGACGGCTTTGCCGGAATTAACCGGACGGCTTTACCGGAAATATCCGGACGGCGGAAGAAACAAAGTTTCTCTCTCTAAAAGATTTAAGAGAGAGAAGAGAGAAAAACCTGGGATAAGAAGCTTTTTCCAATTATATTGATAACTTTATGAAAGTAAAATGCGATAGAAATAGAATATGAAAGAAATCCCATGCTATACGTTAAAAGTAAAAGACATGAAGTGAAATATATACATTTTCTTATTAACACGACATAACTTTTTTTGTTTTCTCTACATACAATCTTGCAAGAAAGTGGACACGAAACATGGATACACACGCAAACAAAACATCAAACCAACCAACAAGCAAACACCAAGCATTCACAAAACCCGGTTAATTACACTCGGATCTCACGGGTTTCTACCGCTTCATAAGAACCGATGAACACGTCACCGTAGATAAGTCCGGCGAGTGCACCACCCACAAGTGGTCCCACCCAATAGATCCAGATTTGGGACAAGTCACCACTCACAACAGCTGGTCCGAAAGACCTTGCTGGGTTCATGGAGCCACCACTGAATGGACCAGCAGCGAGGATGTTGGCACCAACTATGAAGCCGATAGCGATTGGAGCGATGGTCCCAAGCGATCCTTTCTTTGGATCAGCTGCGGTGGCGTAAACGGTGTAGACCAATGCAAAGGTCACAACGATCTCCATCACGATACCTTCAACCGCTCCTAAACCGGCTGCGACTCCGTGGGTCGGTACGCTCTGCAACAAACCATTTAAGATTAAAGTATTTATTTATTTCTTACTGATCAAACCGAATTTTGTAAACCTTTTCTAGTCTAACCAAATAAACTGAAATTCATAATATTGATTGACATAGATAATTTACTAAATTTGTTAGAAATGATTTACCAAATCAAACGGAGAGTTATGATTCAAACCAAATCGAACCGGAAAACAACAATACATCTTTCTGGTTATTTTTACCTAATAAAAGTTATCAAACCAAACCGGGGTAATTTATATTCTATTTCGGTAAAAATTCTACTAAATAACCTAAAGCCAACCAAAAAAAACCTATATACGGTAACCTAAAAAACTGATATATTCATGATCCAAACCGGAGAAACAAGAATAAAGCCACTCCTAGGCCTACTAGTACGTACCTTTCCATTGGTAACAAAGACGAGGAGAAGACAAGCGACGATGGAGCCAAGACACTGAGCAATCCAATAGAAGAAACCTATGATGAGTGTTATGTTTCCGCCGATGGCAAGGCCAAGAGTCACAGCTGGGTTAAGGTGACCACCGGATATATTAGCCGCAATGGAAACTCCAACGAAAAGAGCAAACGCATGAGCAATCGCAATCGCTACAAGACCAGCCGGGTCCAAGGCTCCATCAGAGGTTAGTTTGTCAAACGCGATAGCAGAGCCAACACCGGCGAATACGAAGAGAAGCGTTGCGATAAACTCAGACAAGTAAGCTTTTAGAGATGATACACTGAATGAGTCACCCACACTTCCAAGTTCGATCTTCACCATTTCTTGAAAAACTAGTTTTTGGTTTTGTTATCTCTTTCTATTTTCTGTTATTTGGGCTTTGGATGGGCTCTTGTTTATATAGCGAAGAGCAATTGACAAAAGGTGGGGTTGATAATGATATTACGTGGCAGTATCATTATTGGATGCCGCCCAAACCGCCTCTTATTTGATTAATGGATGGTTAGCAATATTAAACATGTTTAGTGACAACTATAGTGGGATTTAATAACATGTAAGGATAGGAATCTTCTCTTGGCATTTTGGTAACCCGCATTTTATAATTAATGTTGTGTCACACCAATAATGATAATGGTCTTTGTTATTTTTGTGTTTCTTATTGGATTAGATAAGTAGGAAGGTACTAAATTATTAGTAGGGATTAATTTTATAAGTTAAATCCAATTTGTTTGTTTTTTTTTGTGTGTGGAGTTTGATTGGGAATATTTTACAAGGAAATCCAATTTTTAACTAGCTGCGATTATGACTATTCACAAAACTAACATTAGACTGAACATATCTATTTCTATAAACTTACATATAGATGTATTTCTAAGAACAATTTGTATGCCTTCTTGAAATATTAGATTTCATAGAAACAAACATGTAGTCGCTACGGAATATTTGGTGTACTAGTTTCTTTTAAATTAATCTTCTGACGTTCAACGTTGTATTAAAATCATGAGATGTAAGGTACATCGAGTTTAAGGAGAAATTAGGTAATGCATGTGCCATGGACATGCAAATTTGATCCTATTTAATATTTAAGAATAGCAAAATATTTATTTTTGATAAATAAATTTGTATGTATAGTAAATATATATTTGATATATATGTACAATATATATTTCAAAATTTTAGTTTCACGCATAGATTTATTCTATATATATATTTGAAAAATAAATTAAATATTTATTTGTGTTTGGCTATTGATTTTAGAATATTAAGAACAAAATCACAAAATTAAAAGTGTTGACAAAAAATAGAACTAAATAAATGTAAAATAAATAAAATCATGACAATTGTGGGCTTGCAACATCAGCAAAAATAACTCTATAATGTATAGACTATAGAGGATGATAAAAAATGTATTAAGTTAGTTTTACTTTTAAATAAAGGTTTGACATTAAGTAATTTGTCTATATTAACCTACATGTGGTGCTATACAATTCATGTAAATTATAAAAATTAAGCGATTAGATACTTACCCAAACTTTGATGATAATTGTAGTTGATATTCGAATAGTATTAAGTTAGAAAGGGTATTTTGTTGAATTTCGAAAGGTGATCCGCAATGATGGCCAGATTATCTAAATGTTATTTTTATATTGCTGAGCCAACGATTGTTTTATTTTATACGTATATCACGTTATATTTAGCCGAATAAAAAATATTATTCGAAATTAAAACCTGACATATTTCGGTCTAGTCATCAAAAGGTGAGTTACTCAATAGTTTATTTAGTGAAAAGGTTTAGGACATGGATAACATAAATTAATAATCGCATGTTCTTTTATGTAGTTAGCAGTGTAGCTGCCACGTAGCCACGTTGCCCGGGACCGAAACCCAATAACATCTGAAAAACCCGAAGATGGGCTTTTTTTTTTTTTTTTAATAGATATTCTTAGACTTTGAATGATTGTCTAGACCGGACTAAAATTATACCAGTCTATACTTAATTCACCATTTACTATTATGGACTAGTGTGCACTATTGCAGACTAAAAATCTCCATACTAGTATGCACTTGAGCATACAACTCCATACTATCATAAATTCACTGTTAATCTGCATTTTTTCATTCCATTCCCCAAAAGCTCAATACCATCATAAACTCCAAACCAACATACAAATATCTGCTCCATACTACAGTCCGATATTTTGCATACTAAAGTATTGGTATGCAGTGTCTAGTCCACATAGAATAACCCATTCAAAGCGTTAGTCGACAAAAAAAAAGAAGCAAACCCATTAACTTTTTTTACAAAGTTTCAAGTAATTTAAATACTTTCAGGTATTACTAGTTAGTTTTGATGATTTTTAAGATCTTTTTAGTAATTCAGATATTTTCAAATATTTTATGATAATTTTTGGTTAGTTTGGATTTTTTTTTCTACCAATTTTTTTGGGTAATTTGGATAATATAAATATTCAATGTTTTCCAAAGTTAAGAAATAACAGTATTAAAAATAATAATTTAATTCATGTACCAAATTAAAAATAATAGTTTTGATATTTAAATTTCTCACCTTCTAATCTCCAAACAACATTCAAACTACCATATCTTATTATATAAAGTATGGTTTTCAAAGTTAATAACTCATAAGATCGTGACACGTGGCAAATTTACCGATCTTAGATTCTGACACGTGTAAAACAATTTTTTTTTTTTTAAAATTGGAAGTAATTATAAATTTAAATAATTTTAAAAATGTAAAATCTTATTATAAGGATAATTGTAAATAACTAATATTTCTATAAACAACCTAAAAAATGTCAAAAGATAATAAGGAAATTATACATTTTTTATAATTAAAAATATATATTTCAATTAAACAAGAAAAAAATTAGACAGATTTATTAAAAAGGAAACATATGTTATTATATAACTAATATTATATATTTTTGTTTCTCAAAGTTAGTAATTAATAGTATCACGAACCGTTATCCATCAAAGATTTTATCATGTGTCATGATTTAATTTAAAATTTGATATTATTATCTCAATTTCCTTCTAATTATAAATATGTGATGATTTAATTAAACTAATCCTCATATTATTTATTTGAGTTAATTTTTTCGATTAGAAATATGAAATATCAATTTTTTTTTTCCTTTTTGTAATATTTTTTTTTTACTTAACTGTGTTTTTTTTTTGTCCTCAATTATGATTGTAGTATTGTTAGATTGTTTATTTCAATTTCTCTTTACATATTTAAATTATCAAAGATTATCAACGTGTTTATAATTTATTACTTTTACTTTAATTTTTGTATCCTTAAATTATTTATTTGGTTTCTACGTTCAGTTTAAATTATATAAAAGTTAGAATATATCATAGTTCTAATGATTTTATATAGCGACATGTGTCATTATTTAAATTACAAATTTACATTATTTATCTCAATTTTATTATCTAAATAGAAATATGTGATGATTTTAAGTAAAGTTTTATATTGTTTAATTGAAATTCTTGAATATGTAAGAACCATATATGCTTCTTTTTTGTTTTTGATATTTTGAATTTAATTATACTATTTCAAAATTGTTTATTTAAATTTCTATGTTTATATTTGAATTATATAAGATTCATATATCATCATGCTTATAATTTTTGAATTTATCGATTTTTATTGATTGATCATAAAGTCATTGCATGCGAGTATATAGGAATCGAACCCGCAATGTTAGCTTGGAAGGCTAAGAGATTTAGTCGATTTATCATTTTTATATTTTTAATGTGTCTAATTAAAAATCACTACTTTAGTTTCATTCGCCAACTTTATGATGATATTTCTAATTTGTTCTTCATATAAGTATACCATGAGTTATTGTGATGTGATATATCTTTCATTCGAAATAATTTTGAATTAATAATTTTAGTGGTTAAAGAAACAATGCAACAGTGAAAAAGTAAATATTTTTTTATACTTTTGAAAGAAAATTTCTACTTACAAATATTGTTAATTAATTTTTAGTTAAATTTAACTTTAATATTTAAAAAATTAAACCCGTCTATCGGACGGATCCTTATCTAGTTATAAATAATGTATCATGAAAACAAATTGGTCAGCTTTCTGTAATCAATTAACAATTAACAAAGTTAAAAATTAGATTAAAAACAAGTAATAATAAATGAGACCGGTAATAAAAGTATAAATCTTTTTGGATTTATTATATACTAGTATTTGATCTTTTTGCATACTCACAGAATTAAAACTGTTGAAATCATATAATATTATCCTTACTTTACAATAAAATTTTTGTAACAATTGATGATTAGGTAAAGTTTTGTAAAATGAAATTATGATTTGATAAGTTAGCTAGAAGCCTAGAACATTATTCGTGGAATATAAATATCTAGTTTTGTTAGAAAATGTATAGTCAATATCTATATATACATTTTTGGAGTACACTTAGCAAATAAATCCTAGAGTTGCTAAGTATTTACAATACAATGCCATTGGCATTTAATGTTTTAACAATTTATTCTTAAATCTAGATATGAATCGATTTGTTACAAAAATTTAGGAAACTAAAAGAAAAAAAATTACAAAAATCATTTAAATCTTTCCAAATCTAAACAAAATATAGTACACACTAACAATCCTTTTAAGAGGATCAATAAGCATTAATCACCCTGATTTTCGTTTTAAATCATTTATTTTCAGTTAATAAAAAGAATGAAATCTCATATTACAATATATGCTTTAAAATTTTTATAAAAAATTAATTACGCCACAATTTTAAAAATTGAAACCCTAATTCTTTCCCAATCTCCTATAAATTAAAATCTATTTCTTAAGCTTCCCTTCATTAATCATTACGATAAATCGGCACTCTACAGTCCTAATTCTTCATTAAAAAAAAAAATATTTTAGTTTTATATTTTTTTATATTTTCATATGTTTGATTATGTTTCTTTGAATGATTCGTTAAGTCTTGCCAATCATGTTTGTTCAATACAATATCACTCTTCTTGAGAAGATCGAAATTGATTTTATTTTATTTTGAATCACTTTTTGGAGTGTATGATCTTCCTCTTATAGTAGTTCATATGTAGAAGCCATCCATCACAAGTTAAAAAAAAACACTTCCTAAAACCTTTTTTTCTGATTTTTTTATTACGGCGTTCTAATTCTGTTTTTCTATATACTTTTATGATTTTATCCAATTTGCAATTGTACAAAATAATTATCACACCCTAAAACTTTCTTTTCTGATTTTTATTAAATTTTGTTCTTTTTCTGGTAAGAATAAATTGTACATGTATTTAGTTGATATTGCAATTCAAATAATGTTAACAAAAATGCCCAAATATAGGCTATTAAAAGAAAAAACAGTTAGTCAAAAACACAAGTATATCAATCCCAAATTATGATTAAACTAAATATTTATTTATAATATTTTTTACCCAAAACAATAACATTATATATATTAAAAATTTTGAAGTACCTTTTTAAATTACTTTTGTGTTAGTAAAGTAAGAATTTACAAAGAATGTGATCACATTAAAGTAAACAAAAACAATTATTATTTTTGAAATATTATTATTGATATATTTTAACTTTATAAAACATTATTAATTAAAATATCATGAGACGAATTATATAACGGGACGGATTTGGATTAATATAACATGGGTTATATCTTTATTTTATTATTTTATCATCACTAATTTTTTTAGTTACAACATTAATATAAAATTATATAACTTTAATACTAAATTAAAAACCATAAAATTTAATATTATTATATTTATGAATAAAACATTTGCTCCGTGGTGTACCACGGGTTAAATCCTAATAAATTACAAATTTTAGTTGTCAGTTAAGTAATTAAAATATATAAGGACTTCATATCATGTCTTTCCATCCTCATAATTATAATTAATGACTTTAATAATTGAGCTCAATGGTGTAGTCATCCTCGTTCTTTATCTAAAATGTGATTTAAGCTTCATACACTTGTAGAATATACAAATGTTCTAAAATTGGTTCATGCATCACCAACGACCATCTATAATTAAAGGCGCTCTTTGCTTATGACATGACAATTACCATTTACGTAACTCATCGCTTAAAACAATATCCACCAGTAAAAGAAGATGAGTGATTAATTCACCGAGGTGGAATGTTCTTCTTTTTTTTTTTGTTCTATCGACTTTTTTTTTTTTTTTTTTTTTTTTTTTGTTAAAGGATCTTCATTTGTTCTATCGACTTTAATCATTCTCCTACTTGAAAGGATACTTCTTCTACAAAATTTTAGAGCAGAGTAAAAAGATTAATCATTTGGAACTTGGTAAATTGGTGTTCGAATTAGAGTTTAGAGTTAGTTTTGGAGTACCTTTACTGTTCCTTGTTTCCTCAAAATTTTTAGGTCGGCAACATGATCCCTTGTGATTATTAGCAACTGCGTCTCTGAATTGGTCATGTTATTTACTTTGCGTGTTCCTTTTTGTCCTTCCAAATCCAAAAAGTGAAGCATGATAAAGACCTTCACTATAACTCTGCAACTCCTTGAACTCTGCATATTGCCAAATACACAAACCACCAGATAAAAAAAGAGAGAAAATAAGAATCTTCTCAATTCTCAAAGTCAAGTGTGCGGCGCAGTGGCGAGAAAATATGTAGAGAACCTTGAAATCGTTGCCGCTAGAGTAGATGCCGGAGAGATCGATGTTGCGGCAGATTGACAGAAGACACTATGAAACAAAAAGGTGGAGAAGAAGAAGGAAGAATGAAGAAGTGTGGATGTCGGAATCCGCACTTAAGAATTTGTGGACGATTTGGGGGTTCTCGGCCTCGTGAGATGAGCACGATCAAATCTTAAAGCAATGAATCGAGAGTTGAAAGTGTTTCGTATTAATCGTAATAGAGTTTTGTTACAAGATTTTTTGACCACCGTACAATACAGATGCCTCTATATTAATATGCGAACCCTAGAATATATTTCATAAATGCAGCCATTTCCCCACCGAGAATCGCGCCCAGACGTTACTTGTAATCCATGGAACAGACTATTAAATGCTCCACAATCAATGCCTCTTCATTACGCCTCGGAATATTCGTCCGTTACACGCATTCGGGAATGCCCAATTCTTACAGTCCGCTAACAGTTCTCGGCGCATTCAGGATCTTGCGACCCATTTACGATAAACCGTTTTCCCTCCGGGCTGGACAGATACCGAGATCCGTCACCAACAGTTTGCCCCAAAGTTATTTGAAGTGCGTAACTTTGGGGGACTTAAATGCACTATAAACTCTCCGCGGTGAAAGTAAGGGAGGTTAACCCCGCAAATCTTGGGATCCTAGGGCTTTCTTTTGCCGCCCAGCGGTCAAAACTAATCTTATAAAAACCAAAGGACCCTTTGGGTTCCACACCTTTCGTCCTTAAAAGGTAACCTTCTTCCCTTCTTCTCCTTTTATTTTCCTTAATTCGTTTTAGAGAACTAGGTTGACTCTTCTTTAGAATAGGTGTTAAGATCATTGTTTGCTTTAGTTTTTAGAAATCTCTCGACGGTTTTTGTTCAGGAATTCTTACAGACTTCATTAGATTTTCAATCGTAGGTTAGGAATTCTCACTGTCATTATCGTATCTCTTCAGATCTTTACCGGTATCTTTTCGTTTCTTAGGGCAAAAGCATACGTCTGTTCGTCGGAACACCTGGGAACCTCCAAAGTGTTCTTACTTTGTTCCTTAATTCATATTTCTAGATCTCTGTCCTCGCCTTGAATTTCTAATAGTTGTTATGGCTCTGAAGCGATCTCGAAAAGAGGTAACCGTTCTGGACGGACAATTTGAGAAATACACTCCGTCCATCCTTGGCTCGTGGAAGCTAATTATAACAAGAGGAGGATGCGAGATCCCAAAAGAAGTACTTCCCTGTAGCGTCCCGTCCCGGACGTCTCGGCGTCCGGCGACCATGGACACACGCTCGTGCCTCCTCCCGGCCGAACCTCTATATTTTTCGCATTTTCACATAGAATTTCCTTTACGAGGCTTAATTCGTTTAACACAGTGGAAGTCTTTCTACCCTTGGTCTAATTCCAACCACCCCTTATACCGGTTTGATCGTCTATGTCTCTTAGACCTTAGATCAATCATTTACTCGGCCAAGTCAAGCAATTTGTTCGCTAACCATTCTAAGTCTAACGATTGCATATTCTTTTATCCTTAATCCAACGGCCAATTCCCAAACGTCTATCTTAACTAATAAGTTAGATTTGTTTACATACCTTGGCCTACATGCGGATTCGATTCTTCTTCGATCCGTCCATTGGTCCTTCTCTTAGCTCTTTCGTTGCCTTATTCCATTCGTACAACGATTCTTAACCATTTGTGTATTGATGGACCAATCTCTATCGTTACTTAGCCACACATCAAACCAACCCCACTGGTCTAAGTCCCACGATAGAGATTGGAGATCATACGATTCCCTTGGTTCACGATGGCCGAATCAAGCTCTTGGCTCATTGGTCCATCCGTCCTCCAAAAGTACACCCCTTCGGTTTCATGGTGGACGATCAAGCCCTCGACTTATCGAACCATCCATGTTTCCGATAAGGTCGTTTAACACTACAACCGCCCACGATTTACTAACCGTTTACCCGTCCGATCCATGGTGGTGGGTAAAGCTTTCGGCTTATCGATTCATCCATGCGATCCGAACAATATCCTTATCACACCCAAGGGTCCGTGGATTCATCCATCGGATCATCGTAGGCTAGCCCATGAAATCATTCTTCCGTCGACCTTTGGTTTGCTCGCGGGTCCAACATACGTTTTGTCCATCGGTTCTCACTGAGAATTTTCCCGTAGGTTATCCATCGAGTCACCATTGGTCTTACCGATCTCTGATCGATTTCACCATTGGCCGCGGTGATAGATACATGAAGATGGTCGTGATATTGATCCTTGTGTGGAGAACCACGTTCCTTACCCATTCTTGATGTTTTCACCTTTTTTCGGTGAGATTGCATCTATGGGCGACCCTTGGGTGTGTTTGGTTGCACTTATCCCCGTGCTTCATAGAACACCTTTCCCTTATACACCTTCCCGAGTAACTTCCCGTTAACCCTATCATTCCATCGGTATATCTTTGGATTCGTCAATACTTCCAGATCGCAATTTGAGATTTGTCGATCCCTTTTCTTTTCGTATCCCTCACTCAGCGATATGATTTGTCAGACGATACATCGATCCCATAATCGAGCTATCGATCCGAACAATCAATCGAATCGTCGAACTCTTCGTCGATCCAACTCCTTGATCGAATTGTCGTTCCGCCGATCTGATCGATACAACGATCTGATCATTCGGTCGACCCAACAATCTTACCTGATCCGATTCATCTCTCCGACAACCAATCTATCCGTTTCGATCTGTGTCTCCGATGATCGGTCCGATTAATCCATCAATACTATCGAACCGTTGGATCGGGAGGTAGCATGCGCATCAGTTCGGTCGAGACTCGTAGAATCCATCCCGATTCCCGAGATACTCGCCGAGCCGCACCACCTTTCCGACCAACAACTTCGTGGTGTGTTTAGGATTGTTTCGGGGTGTGTTTTCGTGATTGTGAGGATGATCTAATGCCCTTGGGCGTCCTCCCTTATATAGGGGCGAATGGATGCCTTTCCGAAACATCACACCCGTTCATTGCACCCTTCCGAAGGGTTGCATCTTTTTTTATCATAACCGCTCAGCCTTATCCACCTTTTGGCTAACAGAACGTTCGTTTGTAACCGCTCGACCTTAACACCTTTTGGTCGAGACATCCTTTGGTCCCCGAGCTACCACAGTCCACCAGCTCGAGTGTTAGCTCACCGGACCACCAAGCTGGATTACTACTCGGTCAGCTCATCAAACTCGGTTGAGCTTTCGGTCAGCTCACCTAGCTAAGCAAGCTAGCCTTCCAGCTGGTGTAGCTCACCTAGCTGAGCTTGCTAGTTCATCCAGCTAGTCCAGCTCACCTAGCTGGATTAGCTCGGACTCTTTTGTGCGTTCTTTTTGGCTAAGTCTTTCGGTCCGTTTCTCAGCCTTAACTACGCCACTCCTAATCGTTCCATGATCATGTCCCCATGATCATGTCCCCATGATCACACGATTATCCCAAAACGATCTAAGTCATATACCATTTCATGACTTAAACGTTTCTTTCGTTCCTTGGGTTAACTTATTTATAAGTCTTTTTCGACCATGATCTAGTTTTCCCCTAAACAAACCGGCCCTCCTTTAGAATCACGGGACGCGGGTGTAACATTCCTCTTCCTGGAACTGCTTATCAAGCTCGGAGTTTCTCTTCCCAAGTTGTGCCCAAATGTTATCTATAATGTTTTATGCCTTCAAACTTCAGCCGAAGAAAGCGGCTACCTTCTATCTCTTTCGGACCTTTATTATTTGTACACGATGAAGAGGAAACCAACAAAAGGAACCTTTTATCTCGGACCTTGGAAACTGTTCAAAGTTTTGACAGGATAGCATACTTTTTCTTTCCAGTCAACCAATTTACGTACGATGAACGTACATGCTAATTGGTTTTGGACTGGAACGCTGGCTGACTGACTATGGTTTTACACTTTCTCTTGCAGTCAAGTTCAAGCAAGGTCCGCGTCCCACACTTTTCCCAACACTTAGTCGCCTTCTATAACAATCAGATTGCCTAGGACTCCTTCACTTATGAAAGAATCAGGAGATCGGGAAAAAGAATACGCTCGAGGACAGACCTAGTTGTTGCATCACCTTTTCCCCACCCTCTCCAACCGCAAGCAGACATGTTTCCAACCGCGAAAAGAAGAATCTAGAAAAAGAGAGAGCACGGAGAGCCAAGGAGAGGAGCAACACAAAAAGACGATGTATCGGACTCTCGGAGAGAATACGGGTAGAACGCTCTTCGGATATATCGAGAACTCCAGATCCGAAGAATTTTGATGGGGATCCTCTGGCAATATCCGATAACCGATGCATCCAACATTAGTAAACCTACAAGATCGGGTAAGGACAAACCTAAAGAATCATCCGAGAAAGTCAATCCTCAGACCCAAGATATGAAGATAAAAGCCTTGGTTACATATCTACCATCCTTTCATCGCTCATCCCGTCCCTGTCTACCTGAACTGAGCGAGAAGGAAGTGTCCTCTACTGGAGGTGGGTCGCCTCGGGTCAAATTCATGGTTGAAAATAAAGAATCTTCTCGTAATATCATGATCCGTGCACCGAAGGAAAGTGGTTCGAAAGACATCAATAACCGCAAGGCTCCATTTCCCACATATTTCGAACTATGAATTATAGTTTTGATGGCACCGAATTTATCCATTGAACCCAAATGAATCAGGTACTTCTCCAATGTCTCCTTCTGATATGATGATAAACTTTGTCCGCCCAGGGTCGGGAATCCCCCCATTCAGAAAGCTCAAGGACATCAATCGAGAAAGTTACTTCCGCCTTGCCGACAAACATGGAGAGGTAATAAGACCCAGGTTTACTTTCTTGTTGTCACTTCACACCTTTCGCAAGTCAAGAGGACCAGATTGCGAACTCTCATTCTAGGAAAATTAATTCATTGCAGGGTCGAATTGCTGACTTGGAGAAGGAGGTTCAAGAGCACAAGATTATCGAGGAAAAGAATGTGAGAGCAGTTTACAAGGCGAATCAGATCAGGGATAAGATGAAGGAAGAGGAGGCTGGCTGCAACGAGCTAGA